TTTGGCGGTACGCGGGCCTCTCACTGTTGTGGCCTCTCCCGTTGGGGAGCACAGGCTCCAGACGCACAGGCTCAGCAGCCATGGCTCACGGGCCCAGCCTCTCCGCGGCTTGTGGGATCTTCCCGGACCGGGGCACGAACCCGTGTCCCTTGCATCAGCAGGCGGACTCTCAACCACTGCGCCACCAGGAAAGCCCGGCAGGCGGATTCTTAACCACTGCGCCACCAGGAAAGGCCCTAGAGTTACTTTCAATCCTTTTTTTTAATCAGCAGAAAATACTGTTAGTACATAAAGTTAATCTTTAAACTCTTGTTTTCCTTACAGTAAATAAATTCTAGGTTTTATCAGTAATTCCGTGTTAAAGGGCAAATCGATCATAGGTAAAAAGCAGCAGGTAGAACAAGGTATAAAATGGGGGGAGGGGTGAGCCTTTGGGTGCCTCAGGGACATGCGGCTCCTCCCTGGTCCTGTTCCTGACCTGTGGTTGTTGCTCTGTCAGGATTCTCCTGGCAATTCTGTGATGGTTTCCTACTGTGTGATTTGGAGTTCTTACCTTCGTGTGTCCTCTGCGTCGGAGTTTCTGTCTGGTGTTGTTCAGCCTGAAGGACATCCTCTGGCATTTATTGTGGTGGAGGCAACGGGCAACAGGTGCCCTTGGGTCTTGTCGACCTGAGAACGTTTTCATTTTGCCCTTGAATTTGAAGGGTATTTTCTCCAGATGGAGAATTCTGAGTTGACAGATGTTTATTCCTGCCTCAGCACTTTAAAGATGTTGTTCCATTGTCTTCTGGTCTCCATTGATCTTTGGATTTTAGCAGTGTGATGATGACATGCCCAGGTGTAGTTTTCTCTTTATTTATCCTACTTTGGTTTTGCTGAACTTCCTGGATTTGTTACTCTTATGTTTTTCATCAAATTTGAGGGTTTTGGCCATTCTTTCTTCAAATGTTTTTCAGTCCTAGCCTTATTCTCTTCTCCTGAGGATCATCTGATATTGTCCCAGGGGTTCCTAAGACTGTTCAGTTTTCTTTCAAATCTCTGTCTTCAGATTGTCTGGCTTCTGTTAACCCATCTTTTTTTTTTTTTTTTTTTTTTTTGGCGGTATGCGGGACTCTCACTGTCGTGGCCTCTCCCGTTGCGGAGCACAGGCTCCGGACGCGCAGGCTCAGCAGCCATGGCTCACGGGCCCAGCCGCTCCG